TGACACTGTCTAACCATCTCATGCTTTGCCGTCCCCGTCTTCTTTGACCTTCAATCTTTCCCAGCATCAGGGTCTTCTCCAGTGAGTGCTCCCTTCTCATTGGGTGGCCAAAGTATTAGAGCTTCAGTTTCATTATCTGGCCTTCCAGGGAACAGTCAGGGTTGATTTCTTTGAGGATTGACTGATTTGATCTCCTTGCAGTCCAAGGGACTCTCAAGAGTCTTCTCCAGCACCATAGTTCAAAAGAATCTATTCTTCGGCGCTTGGCCTTCCTTATAGTCCAACTCTCGCAGCCATACATGACTACTGGGAATACCATTGCTTTGACCATGCGGACTTTTGTTGGCAGGGTGATGTCTCTGCTTTTTATCATGCTGTTTAGGTTCGCCATCGCTTTCCTCCCAAGGAGCGGACGTCTTTTAATTTCATGGCTGCAGTCACCTGTCTGTTATTTTTTTTTAACCTGCCCGCTTGCTGTTTTGTGCAGATTCACTGTTTCTTTTTAATTGCGTTTCTGCAGGTTTTTTAGAGGTGTGTTCATTAGTAGTGTGAGATGGTCAGGGGATGATATTAATTTCATCCGGTCTTTCTTGGTTTTAATCCTACCAGCAATTCCATTTTGGCCAGATTCTTGGTGACCTACAGAGCAGTCCTAAGAAGATCTTTGATTCACACGGAAGTTCATTCAATGAGGCGAACTCCCCAGAAAGCAATTTAATGTTCCCTCTAAGCTGTGAATGCTTGTGAGCAAAAATTCTACTTTGTGAGCTACTGGCATTAAAGTTGTGAGCAGGTGATATGGCTACTGCATCAATTAGTTTGCTCTGGAGCCATCCTTCCTGAGCTAAGATACAAATGAACCGGGGGCTGAAAAACTGTGAGCTAGCTCACACTGACTCAGCTTAGAGGGAACACTGGATAGCATGGTTAAGAAGTGGGGCTTTGAGAGTTACCAAACATAGTCTTCATCTATGAAGGCTCTGACATCAGTATGTAAATGGCTACTATCGGGGCTATTTTGGGGCAGGAACGCACAGGAACGGAGTTCCGGCTGGCTCCCAAGTTGGCCACGCCCAGCAGGAACTCATTAGTATAATAGGCCACACCCAACAGCAGAAACTCATTAGGATTGGCTACATTAGGGGTGCGTGGCCTAACATGCAAAGGAATTCCTGCTACAAAAAAGGCCCTGGGTTTTGACAACAAACAAGGTAAACAGAATAACAAGCAAAAGGTGGGTGTGGCTGGATAACCACACTTCTGGTAACATGGGGGTGCGGCCTAATGTGCTAATGAGCTGTGCTGTCAGGGGTGTGGCCTAATATGCGAATGAGTTTCTGCTGTTGGGTGTGGCCTATTATGCTAATGAGTTCCTGCTGGGCTCTTTCTACAAAAAGAGCCCTGGATGAAAAAAAATTGATAAAACGTGCTTGTGGCCAATTCTTCTGCTTTAAATCCAGTTTTCCAGCAATTGTCCTGAAGCCAATTTTTTCAAGAGAAAATTACATGGTGATTCCCCTTCCTCCCCATTCTCATTGCTTACATGCTGTAAACTTGTATACTAAGAGGAAAATACTGGAAGACTGTCTTGGGGGGGGAAAAGAAAGCACACTAGCTTTGTGGCTTTATAATCCTCCTATTCATTCTGATATGACAAACACCAGCTCTTGCCACCAGAGGGCGACTTCAAACAGCATTCCCAAAGCCAAAGTGATATGGCAAAATCACCTTGTGGTAACTTTATCATCATCACTGCACATAATATGTTCTGGACGACCTAGGAACGTTTGCATGTACATTGGTATAAATGTGCATACAGTTCTTCCTTCCCTGGCAAAAAGAATGAAAAGGCTGTGGGAACTGGTCATATGCACGTACGGATGTTCAAGACTTTACCCTGGGTCATACATAGCGATGAACTTGTTGGGGCCATGAATTTGTTGTTGTATGATGGGTACAATTTTGCTAGTATGGCAATTGGGTGAACCAGTTCTATCTCCACCATTGATGGAAATAGTTTCTAAAAAGCTGATTCTGTTCGTTGAAAACCTGAGCTTCTCAAATGTCAGACTATCAAGTGAGCCATCTACTTATATATATTACATTTATATCTTGCTTTCGTTCCACAAGGCTCAAAGCACAATGTCTCCACTCCATAATGGCACAAACCTCAGCTATTATCTGCTTAGAATCAGGAATGGAACTGCTACATACACCTTTTGATTATTACCTGATAACTGAGACAAAGGTTGTATGATAATTTCAGTACGCCATCTTATGCATTCAATGTATTAGCACTAGTACTTTATGAGGTTTTGTTTTATCTTACTGTATTGAATTTTAAATTGTTTTTATGTGAATGTACGGTCACCTATAGACCAATTATGTAAGCCGCCCTGAGCCCGCTTGCGGGGTAGGGCGGGGTATAAATCGAATAAATAAATAAATAAAAATAAATAAAACCAGGAAATCGAGGCAAATAAGGTCAAAGCAGCAGGGGACAGATCCCTCATCCTATCTGTTCCTCTGGCAAGGACTTTGCAGACGCAAAATACTCGGGAAAACGAATAGTAGCACATCTTCTCCAGAATGGATAGAACTCTTGCATTTCTGTCACTCCAGAAATGCCCTGGTTCAGTCAAGACACAAGAAAGGGGCCTCACAGATGCCGTAGTGCACTGTGTCTAGCACAATTCCAAGCCACACTCATCTGGGGGGGGGAATTTAACCCACCCCCGGTGTATTTTTTTAACATTTCAGATTTTTCTGTAAACCTGGGGGAGGGGCTTTCCCCAAGTTTGCAGAAAAAAATCCGATTTGGGTAAACGTGCCTCTGATCTGCAGATTTAGAGATCTGCAGAAGGGGACCACAGCTGAGAAATAGATTTCTGTGTCCAGGGCCGCGACCATAAACTCATAACAAGAGTTATATAATGTCAGTGGTACCCTGCATATATTGCAATTCCTGTTTCTGCGCAGTCATGCACACATCACAAAAATGACTGTCATAGCTATTCTTTCTCCTCAGGAAGGAGCAGTTTTATGATGGGGACCCAGGAGCATTAATGAAAAGAACAATCATAAAAGGGGGGGGAGGGACCATGACAACTAAACTAGTGCAACTCTGATGTAGATTTGTACCATGCTTTTCAAAACAATAGGTCAGCGCTCCAATTATGGGGAGGAAAGGTGCAGGGGGGGCTTTTAATGAAACCCATGCATCTTACACCCCAAGTCCTGGTCAATTTGCCCCCCTTCTAGCTATACAGTAACTGGGAGTAAGAATCACATTCTCTTTGCTCTCCTCTAACTCTAACACCGCAGTATGTTTGAATAAGAGTAGGCAGGGCAAACTCAGAACCCGCATCTGTATTACCTCCAGCAAAGGTTGTTTTGTAATTGATGGTATGCTTCACTTTTGTTATAAACTAACCATGGGCTTTGAGCCCAGCAATACATATGATATCCTCTGTCTAGGGCTGTCCCTGATTAAAAACATACGAGCTTTAATCAACCATTGATTAAATTTTCACATACTTGCATGTGAATTAAAAAACGCACAGTTGCTAAGAGGAACAAAGACATATTTGATGCAGGGCCGTGTCGCGGCAGGGACCTTCTTAGGAGAGGCAATCTCTGTCTTGTAAATGCTGGAGGAAGCCTTCTTCTAAGATGCCCACAGATGTTTTTTTTTTAAAACATTCCTATTAAAAATATTATTATTTTTTTTAAAAAAGAATGTATCTTCAGTGAATGAAGGGAACCTTTTTAATTGATTAAAAGATTTCTCAGCTCATCTAACCGAATAATGGATGAAAATTCGCAGCCCTAACTCTGTACCATTAATATCAGTAGCTTTCCCTGTATGCAGCTAACACAGTCAAGGTATAAAAGTGGGGGGCCCAACTCACCACAGGTCCTGTTTGTGGTCCCGCACGACAGGGAGAGTCAGTGGGGTGATGGGCGGCTATGATGGCCACATCCTGCAAGGCAGGACAGGCTAGGCTTGCCAAGTCCCCCTGGGGGGCGGGGAAACCCCCGCCCCAGAGGCCCATTCCCGCCGCCGCATCGGGCCCCGGGGGGACCTCCACCCTGACGTGCACGTCACCAGGAAGTGAGGGTACCACGCCGGGCATGCTGGGGGCGGGGCCACAGTCACCCGAGGGAAAACTCTATGGTTTTCCCTCGGATGGTCATGGCCCCGCCCCCAGCGTGCCCAGCATCGTCACGTCACTTCCTGGTGATGTGGATGCGGCGCGAGCGCTTCGGGATTGACCCAGGAGTCCCCCGCTCTGGAACAAGGTGAGACTTGGCAACTCTAGGAAAGGCTGTGTGGGCAGCTTGGGGGCCAGGTGGCAGCAGTGTCAGGAAAATTTGTCCCTCCCCTTCCCAGGCAGGCCTATGATGGGACCTGAACTGGGCCCAGGGGAAAGGGAAGGGGAGGGACCATGGGGGGGGGGCCACGACAAAGCACACCATGCCGCTTGGCCACCAGACCTCACAGTCGAGTTATAAAGCTATCCTTCTGGTATCTCATTTATGGTAGAGCCATATCTTTTGCTATACAACACTGAGCTTTGTTTGCAAATATCATGATGGTGCTGTTAGAGAGGAAAGTGGGTTTTTTTGGAAAAAGACAGCTTCACTTCACATTTAAGTACTAAATTAAAAGAAAGGAAAGATCCCCAGAAATTATCCTTAAACCAGTACCAAAACAGAAGAATAGCACTTACGTCTTCAAAGCAGTTGCTCTTTCAAAAGTGGATCCAGATAGCGATGACCTATGTTTCAACAGATATTCACCTTCTTTTTGGATGCAAATGGGGTTCAGGTTTTTTTGGACGTGGTTAAAAGCATCCCCCTGCTCCCAACTCATCAAAATGGCTGAATGTTTTACCTTGAACGCGTAGCACTGTTGCTTCACAGTCCTTAAGGTTGGCTAAAGTCAGGGAAGGAGAAAAGGATCCCGGGACCGGTGGGTGGCAGAATCACAGTGTAATTCAATGCACATAATAAAGCCAGTAAATGATGTTAAAAAGAATAAATGTGATAGGAAAGACCATTCTGGACCACTTGTCTATGGAATTTACATCAGTCAAGTCTGGGATTTTGACTTTGAGCTGCGACGCTCTTCTCCTCAAGCGTCCCTTTTGATGGACCGTGTGCCGATCCAAAGTGCTCCGGCTGTAGAGGTCTCTAGTGGACGCAGGGACTCGGTAATGGATGCTGGCACTGTCGTAGGAATACATGGTGGCTCTCGGGTCATTTGTGCTTGCGAGCACGTCAGAGCTGCTGATTTCGTTCCTCATTTCCAGGGTGGTAAGGAGTATATTCCCACGGGCATCAACCTAAAAAAGAAGCATGCTTTAGAGATTATCTTGAGTTGGTTAGTGCCGCTTTACACTCTTGCACATTAATGAGCTGCTTATGAAACAGCTGTGCTGCTTGGGTGCCAAAAATAAAAGCGGGCAGAGTTGGCAACTTTAAGCCGCCAGTTCTGGCCAATGTTTTGAAGTAATGTTAACAAGATTTCTGAGAGAGGACCTTGGTTAAGAAATTACTTCAGCTATCACTCTTGCTTTTCTTAATGCGGTACCATATTTATTTGTTAGGATTTCAGACTTGTTCTTGCATGTGTCTCTGGCAGCAATAATGTGTTTCAGCTCTGGAAGGAGAGTTCTTCACAATATCCACAAGTGTACATTAGGAGATGTCTGGATAATAGGAAGATGGCAGGAACACACAGGAACGGAGTTCCGGATGGCTCCCAAGTTGGCCACACCCAACAGGAACTTATTAGCATAATAGGCCACACCCAACAGCAGAAACTCATTAGGATTGGCTACATTAGGGGTGTGTGGCCTAACATGCAAAGGAGTTCCTGCTACAAAAGAAGCCCTGGGTTTGGACAACAAACAAGGTAAACAGAATAAGAAGCAAAAGGTGGGTGTGGCTGAATGAGCACACTTCTGGTAACATGGGGGTGCGTCCTAATGTGCTAATGAGCTGTGCTGTCAGGGGTGTGGCCCAATAGGCTAATGAGTTCCTGCTGTTGGGTGTGGCCTATTATGCTCATGAGTTCCTGCTGTTCAGTGTGGCCTATTATGCTAATGAGTTCTTGCTGGGCTTTTTGTACAAAAAGAGCCCTGTTATACCTCTGGTACAAAGGGTAAGCAACTGGATTTTGGTCTCTGGGGTTTTCTGCATTTTCATTTTCCTCTTCTGTAAATTGCTGTTTCTTCGGGTGTGTGTGTGTGTGTGTATCTTGTTCCACATGTGTTTTGCTCCCTCTAGTGGTCAATCCAATATTACAGTGGTTTCTGTCCGACATATCTTCCTGCAGATTTAAACTGCAGGTTTTTATGCCAGGCATAAAGCAATGTAATACTAAATTGACTACTAAAGAATTGACCAGAATAGACCCCTCCCCCGCAGAAGAAACAGGAACTTACAAGCAAGGAAATTGAGAATGGAGAAAAGCCCTCTTTCACTGGGCAATTCTACAGGCCACTGAATGTATATCAGCGCAGTTGTATTTTCTATGAGGGATGGGGCCACGGGAGCTTCATGTTGCTGGCCAAGTATTCATATAATTTCAGAGAGGGAATATGCAGTGAAAATGTTGTGATGTCTCAGGGAGTCAGAATTAGGGTACAGTTCTAATTCACAAACACTGCCATCCTAACACCACCTTCCTAGAAGAAAGGGCCACTGAATAGACCTGAGTAGGGCTCTGAATAGACCTTCTCAGGACTACTCTCTACTTGATGTTGGCCTTTGGGCAAATTTCTTCATCTCTCACCTGTTAATATGGCCCAGCGCACCTGAAATTTGGCCTGATTCAGGCCCAGCCGTACTGAACAAAATGGATTTCATTCTGTGGAAACAATTCTGGGTTTGTATAGTTTTTCGGTGAGAAAGTGCTGAGAAATTAGACTGAGAAAGAGCTGAGATCAACAGGCCTTGCTGATATTCTTCCTGGGAAAATCCAGAAGGTATTCAAAACAACCTGAGAAGAAAGGCTTCTCAACTATTCAGACACTTTTAATACTGAAAATGGAATTTTGAACTGAAATGTGTCTTTTTTAAGTGATTTAGCAGTTTGATAGGCCGCGGTGGCTCAGAGGTTAAGATGCTGAAGCTGCAGACCAGAAGGTCAGCAGTTCGAGACCGTAGCACCGTGTGAAGGAGTGAGCTCCCGTCTCTGGCCCCAGCTCCTGCCAACCTAGCAATTTGAAAGCAAGAAATTGCAAGTAGGTAAATAGGCAAATAGATAAATAAACAGGCAGAAGACAGGAAGGCCTGGCGTGATCTGGTCCATGGGCTTGTGAAGAGTCGGTCTCAAATGTGTGACTGAACAACAACAAAAATAGGTACCACTTTGGTGAGAAGGTAACAGCATTCCATGCACCTCAGCGTGTAGTCATGCTGGCCACATGACCACGGAAACATCTTTAGACAGCGCTGGCTCTTCAGCTTAGAAACGGAGATGAACATTGCCCCCTAGAGTTGGATTTGACTAGCTTTCAAGCAAGGGAAACCTTTATATCTACTTTTTAGAGGACCTTAGAAAGTATCCAAACCCACAGTGTTATCATAGTGTTGTGATAACGAAGCATAAGTTACATGGCTTTTTAACTTCGCTCTAAGTGTTTTTGGAAGCCTTTTCAGGAAGCAGGAGGCAAAACCCCAGCAGAAGTCAAGAACTGGTTAAAGAGAGCAGTCTGATGTCATGCTAACAAGATATTAATGCTACTGAGAGGGCAACGTATTCATATTAACCGTCCTGGCAGGGTTAGAGTGCGGAAGAAGATACAAGCAGCTACAGAGATGTGAAGTGTAAAATCCTGATGTCTCAGAACCAATGTTGCCTGCCATTAAGCTGGACAGAGCAAAGTCTCATGCCCAAGTTGGACCTCCAAGTCTAAAAATCTTCTATCTACCTGCATGATGATAGAAATTAAGCAGATACTTGTCCTATTCAAAATCCCAGAATTCAATGGTGGGTGATGAATAGGACAAAAAGCAAGACGAGATGCCCCCAACGTTTAGTTGACACATCAACACTGGGAAGCAAGGTATAGCACATCCACAACAACCTTGAAAAACCAAGACAAGAAGCACACAAGGAAACAAGTGGCATTTGTTTTGGGGAACATGGAAGATATTATGAGTATATGCCTTTTGTCTACTTGGCGAAAGAGGTATTAAAGTGTGGAAAAATTATATCCATGCTCCAGTGCCTACCACTGTAATGGGGTACTCCCTCCCCCCGTGCCATCCCTGATTAAGGGAAAAGGTAGGGAAGGTCCAGGACAGGGCAGTTAGTTGGAGTGGGGAGAGTGAGTGAGCTGAATTTCTTTTGGTAGTGTCCATTTTGTGGGGTTTAGCTTTAAACTTGAGTGGTTGGGACGGTGTGTTAGTGGTACAGTGGGACTAAAAGCCAGGCTGTTCTAGACTCAATATTACCATGTAACCAACCATCTCTTGTTATTCCTCTGCTACTATTCTATTTTTACTTACTTTTAAGTGTCCTTGTGTGTAATGCACTGAATTCATCTAATTCATCATATGTGCTCATCTCCTTTTACTGAAAGGGTGATCAAAACTTTCCAGTCACTGAATGACTAATAATAAATTCATCTTTCCACTGTTTCTGTATTCTATGTTCATATGTAAGTCTTAGGCATTTTCTCTTTATTTATCTCACACCTTTCTTTTCCTCTTGGTTGTGTATTTTGATTAATTTCATCTTGTGTGTCTCACACCGCCTCAATAAACCACTGAATTAACTCCATTTAAGCCATTGGGTCTATGTGTTCTTCACTGGTTTGGCAGGGTCCACTGGGATAAATAGGACCTCAATTAACATCCCCCACAGTTACCCATGTATAGCATGTAAGGAACTGTAGCAGAATTTACTACCATAGTAGTTTTAAGTCTGTTTGGGGGAACTCTGAGGTTTCTTGGAAGCATTCAGGGTTCCTCAGTGAAAAATCAGTAATGGTGTAGAAGCTTCCTTGAAAGGTATCTTGCTCACCATCATGGGAATATAAAACAGTTTTGTAGTGATTTCCTTCCTTCCTCCCTCCCTCCCACTTTGAGCTGGTGTGTGGCAGACAAGTCAATGTTAACAAAATTCATGAAGAAAACATTTAGCCAGTGTGGTGCAGTCATTAAGAGTGCTAAATCTAGGATCTGGTAGACCCAGATTTAATTTCTACTCTGCCACGAAGCTGGTGTGACCTTGGGCCTCCTTCTCAATCTCAGTTACCTCATAGGGCTGAGAAAACAATGGTGTTCCCACAGGGGCCAAAAGGGAGGGGTATATACATATCTAAATTAATAAATGCATAAATGAGTATAACCCATTATAGCCAAGTAGAAACTCTGTATTCAGAGGCAACATAACCTCTTAGATGTTGGAGACAACCAGGGGTTGTTTCGTAGAAAAAGAGCTAGGGGAACTCATTAGCATAACTCATTAGCATATACCACACCCCCTGACATCACCGGAAGTGTTTCATAAGGCCACACCCCCTGACATCACCGGAAGTGTGTCATAAGGCCACACACCCCGCCCCCAACGGTCCCGGCCGCCGCCACCGGCCTTGCAGCTCCACTGCCGAGCCCCATGAGGGGCCCGGCGGTGGACCTGCAAGGCCAGCAGGAGTGCAAGGAAGCCCCGCGAAGGCCCTCCCTGGCCCCAGGCAGGCAGGGGTGGGGAGAGACAGGGAGGAAGCAACTTACCCTCCCTCTTCTCCTGCCTCCTCCTGGCTGAATGAGGGCCGGAAGCAAGGGGGCGGGGCTTCATCATGTGCCCCGCCCCCCATACCTCACCCGGGGGAACTGCGATCCCCCGTGATCCCCCCCCAAATGACCTCTGGAGACAACAATCAGAGACAGCTCTTGCTTTATTGTGCTGAACTGTGTCATAAAAGATGTGGGAATAAACTGTACATATCTCATATGCTTTTAATTAATGAAAAATCCAGTGGATAAATTAAATGTTATGATGTATTCACCTAAAGTAGGAGTGTAAATATCATTAATGTTGATCTATAGTTTCTGCTCAGTTGTAAAGAGAAATAATTCACAAGTGCTAATAGTTTAAACTGATATTTGTATGGGTCCCTTTGTTCACTCATTGCTTATTAGATGACAAGTAGTGGACGAATCACTGTTTTAATTTAAAGTGTTATGGATGAGGCTGCTATGTTTTTAATGAGCTTTTAAAATCATTTCAGGCTTCCCAATCCATATAAATCATAGGGCTATTCATTTCCCCCCTGAATTATAGGTTTTTCAATACGTAACATTTTTTTTATCAGATCACTAACAAATTAACACATTTCTCAAAATAGAGAGAGGAAATTATCTGTTATATTTTGCTCAGTTTTTCTCCCTGTCCAACTCCAGAGACTTCTATGAGAGTTGGCTCAATAGATAATTGGATCTTTTCACTGCAAATAAACAATGCAGGGTGTCCTAAAATGTAGACAGAATTGCTGTTCATAGAACCTGTGTATAGTTACGGTTAAGTGGCTTGGCTAGTGGAAGAACATGGCGTTAATAGTACATACAACATTGGGTGAAGGGAGTGAGAAGGATGCACCTTGGAAACTGACCATCAGCTTCCATCACATGATGTGAAGGCTGAAGATCTGCAGTGGAAGAGGGAATTGGCAAAACTTTAGAAGGTTTCCATAGTATCCAAGTTCCAAACCCGTTATTTTCATTGCCACTCACTTAAGGGGGGGGGGAGAGTTGGAGACACATTTTTCAATTACAAACACTGTGACAGATTTGAAGAGGACATTATTTGACATTAGAAACACTTGTTGCATATCTGAAGAGGAGTAAGCTAAATAAGGTCCATGGCATCATAAAAATAGATCACCCAGAACTGTGACAAGGGCAAGGTGAGTGAGGCATTTGCCCTGGGTGCACAAAGTTGGGGGGGGGGGGTGCAGAAAAAGAACATCAAGACTAAAATAAATATTGCACTTTTTAAAAAAACTCTTGTTATTTATGTATTTACCTTTTAACCAAAATAACTACTATGGAAGTATAGAAGGTACAGTTTTATATTCTTGCCTTGGGTGCAAAATTAGCTAGTTATGGCTCTGGGATCATCACTATGATCCTGACGTTACTGGGAATTTTTCCATGATGATGATGATATCCCACAAGTGGGATTTGAAGTAGCTTTGGCCTAGACCACTCATTCCCAAAGTGGGCAATACCACCCCCTCGGGGGCACTGGGCTGGAATGATCCAAGTGCAGATCCACAAACTGCATCTTTTCGTCCACTTCTTGAAGGTAGATGTCCGGGGGGGGGGCACTAAGTAATTTTTTTCCTGAAAAGGGGGCGGTAGGTCAAATAAATTTGGGAACCTCTGGCCTAGACAGTGCCTGCACGTGTGTAATAAAACAAACAATCCTGATAGGCTCACTCTGACAGGAAATATGCAAAGTTGATATTTGTAGTGCTGTTGCCTCCCATACACAGTCTCCGTTTGGAGGGAGAAGCCCCTTGAAACCCACTATCAAAGCACTTCCCATTCATGATGTGGGGCATATTCCTTTCGTATTGCCTGATCCAATCACCAGCCCTTCATATCCACAACCATAAGGACAGAAAATTAGGAGGGGGGGAATTAAAGAACAATAGATAATTTGAGGAAATACAAGGTCCCAGATAATTAGATCCCATTTGAAACATTAGTAGAGCCTGCTGAATCAGACCAGCGGTCCATTTAATCCGGGATAGTGTTCACATAGTAGCCAACCAGTTGCCCCAGGGAGCCAAAGAAACAGGACACAGAGGCTCCGATGCTGCTTCTCAGCACTGATATTCAGAGGCCCCTGTAGATGGAGGTTCCCTTCAGTCACCATGGCTAATAGCAGCTGATGGACCTCTCCTCTATGACTCTGTCTAACCACCTGTTAAAGCTATTTAACATCACTGCCTCCATGAGCAGTGAATTCCAAGTTTAACTATTCGTTGAGTAAAAAAGTATTTCCTTTTGTCTGTCTTGATTCTGTTTCTCAATAACTTCAGTTGGTGGTCCTGAGTTCTCGTATTACGGGAGAGGAAGGAAAAGATTCCTCTATCCACTTTCTCTACCCTGTGCATACTTTTATAAACATCTACCATTTCTCCCTTTAGCCATCTTTTCCCCTAGACTGTAAAGTCCCAAACTGTCCAGCCTTTTCTCCTAGGAAAAGTGCTCCAACCCCCAATCATCTTGGTTGCCCTCCTTTGTACTTGGCAGTATCCTTCATTACTTGCAATTACCCTCCATTGCAAGAACTGTACTTGGCAGTATCCTCTTTGAGATACACAATCATAGAATCACAGAGTTGGAAGGGACCTCCAGGGACAACTAGTCCAACCCCCTGTACAATGCAGGAAATTCACAAATACCTCCCACATCCCCAGTGATCTCTGTTCCATGCCCAGAAGATATAAAAAAAAATGTCCAGGATCCCCGGCCAAACTGGTCTGGAGAAAAAATGCTTCTGGACCCCAAAGTGGCAATCAGCATTTCCCTGGGAATGTAAGAAACAGCCAGAAGAACTAAGTACTGATAGGATGACCAGAACTGTATGCAGTATTCCAAATGAGGTTGCTCCATAGATCTATACAGGGGCATTACAATATTGGCCATTTTATTTTCAGTTCCTTTCCTAGCATGGTGTTTGCCATTTTCACTGCTGCCACATCCTGGGTTGACATTGTAATTGAGCTTTGTATTACAAGTCCAAGAGCTCTTTTAGTCTCTGTTCCAGCCAGTTCAGATCTCACTAGGATTTTTTCTTCCAGTATGCACCACTTTACACTTATCCATGCTGAACTTCATTTGCCACATGGTTGTCCACTCGCCAACTTAGTGAGATCCCCCTGTAGCTCTTCACAACCTGCCTTGGTTTACACCATCCTGAATAATTTGCAAATGCGGCTACGACTCACACCCAATTACAAATAATTTATGAACAAATTAAATAGCACTGGCCCCCCAAACTGATCCCTGTGGAACTTCATTACTTACTTCCCTCCGTTGCAAGAACTGTCCATTTATTCATACTCGTTTTGCTTCCTGTTGTTTGACCAATTTTTCAGTCCGTAAGAGGACCCACCCTTTTATCCCATGACTTTTAAGCTTACACAGGAGTCTTTGGTGAGGCATCTTGTCTAAGTATATGATGTTTCGTAAGTCCAAGTATGTGATGTTTGCTGGATTGCTATTACCCACATGCTTCCCTGGAGGACCCTTCCAACTCTATGATTCTGTGATTCTATTATTCCTTTTGCAGGAATCCTGCCTCACCAACCCTCATGGATTTCTCTGAGCAGGTTGACAAGCACATCCAACATGGCAGACAAGCTACAACACTGCAAATGTGTTTCTGAGGGTTGCCAACCTCCAGGCAGTGGCTAGATATCTCCAGGGATTACAACTGATCTCCAGGTGACGGAGATCAGTTCACCTAGAGAAATGGCCACTCTGGAAGGTGGACTATGGCATCAGGGCTATTTTTGGGCAGGAACGCACAGGAACGGAGTTTCGGCTGCCTCCCAAGTTGGCCACGCCCAGCAGGAACTCATTAACATAATAGTCCACACCCAACAGCAGAAACTCATTAGGATTGGCTACATTAGGGGTGTGTGGCGTAACATGCAAAGGAGTTCCTGCTACAAAAAAGCCCTGGGTTTTGACAACAAACAAGGTGGTGTGGCTGGATAACCACACTTCTGGTAACCTGGGGATGCGGCCTAATGTGCTAATGAGCGGTGCTGTCAGGGGTGTGGCCCAATATGCTAATGAGTTCCTGCTGTTGGGTGTGGCCTATTATGCTAATGAGTTCCTGCTGGGCTTTTTCTACAAAAAGAGCCCTGGGA